GATTCTGAACGAAACTCTGCACATGACTATGGCCATCAACACACTGTCCTGCCGGAGAGGCGTCTGGTGTTACACCTGGGGCCAGGCCTACGGTCAAGCATGCTGGGCCCTGAGAAATCAGTCAGATATCCCACCTTCCTTCTACTGGGCCATATCAGGGCTTAGAGAGTAAACTAAAGGTTTGATTGTTTTTCCTTTTTATTGATAATCAGTAAACCTACAAGAATCTGAGGTATAAAGACCACATAAAACCCAAAAGAACCATGTTGAATTAGAATAGAGAAAAAAAAAAATCAAAACATTGATTGTACTTATGTTTTTGTGGTAAGAACAGCTAATCACTTCATGCAACTTTGAGCATCTTCTTGGGTTGCACAGACTGCTTTATCGATCCACTCCTGACCCCACCTCTCGCTACTCCCCAGGACCAGCTGAACTACCCAAGGGTCATTATTACTTACAGCACTCTGCCAGTAGCTTTCACCTCTACAGAAGCAAATGCTACCTACATTTCTCCCATGAGACACCACCTGAGCAATAAAGATCAAGACTTACTGCTTCAATATATTCTTTTTATTTCTTTAGTGACATGAACTAGTAACTTCTAGGATCTAACTTGTTCGCCATACTTTATTTTAAAAAAATCAAGAGTTTCCATAGGCATTTGATGTTTTCATAGCCCACAGAGTTAAAATCTTACATATTTTATGCAATTAAAAATTCTTATTGGCTTAAATTCAGTACTGCCCACTAGTGTAAAAAACACAATGCACATATTATTAATGCTGCTGTTCAGGTCGTCACGGAATCATGTATGTCCCTGAATCTGAGATGCTGCTGGACAGACACACAATTACTTTATGTAACGAAACCATGACCCATGATATCCCTTCTCTTGCTTCTATGGTTATAGAATAAATGACTATTACACAACTCATAAAATAAAAAGGCATTTAGTACCAGTTATTGTCATTTACTCATGAGTGCCCACCTTGGAGAAAAAGCATCAGGAATGCAGAATCTGCTAGTGGCTTTGAGCCAACTACAAATGGAATCCTAATTATGACTAATGCTTATAACAGAGTGTTTCATGTTGTCTTTAGAGTCATAATGAACCAACTTCTGAGCTCGAACCTTCCTTTGGCCATTAGTTCAAAACAAATTTGGTGGTCTTATTCCAATATTTAAATACCACAGCACCACCACTGGTACCAAAAACAAACTCATTTAGCCTGAGAAGATACAGCAGAAAACACTCAGGGGGAGGCGAGAATTGAAAATTTAAAACAACAACAAACCCACATAGGAAAAGAAAGAGGAATGGGCAAAACGATATGACAGAAGTTCATGCAGCTCATGTGTCAAGGCCGAGTCCAACTGACTTTGCTCTTCATTCTCTTTAGAAGGCCACAATCATATAGACAAATGAAGAAAACAAATTAAAGGCAACTTGAAAGAGGACCTTTGTGAGAGAAAGGTGAGGCCCCCTCTAGTTTTCTCCAGGAAAACAAGAAAACTCCAAGCAGCTGACAGCCCCCTCCGTGATTTAAGGCAGCTGATGCCAGTTAGCATTTGAGTCTCTAACCAGTGGAAGCAAACACTCACAGAAAAGACCTTTGTCTCTGCCAGGAGATGTCTAAGCCAGGAGTTCCATCACCTTCCCTGGCTGCTAGGGATGGAGGTAATTCTCAAAAGCAGCTTTTATTGAAATCAAGCCAGTTATTAACCCTACGATGGCCTCTAAGTGTTCAAGTGAAGAAGAGTCGCACGTCTCTCACCCTAAATCAAAAGCTAAAAATGATTAAGCTCAGTGAGGAAAGCACATCGAAAGCTGAGACAGGCCAAAAGCTCAGCCTCTGTGCCAAACACTTAGCCAAGTTGTAAAGGCAAAGGAAAAGTTCTTGAAAGAAATTAAAAGTGCTACTCCAGTGAACACATAAATGATAAAAAAAGGGAAACAGACTTATTGCTGATATGGAGAAAGTTTTAATGGTCTGTATAGAAGATAAAACCAGCCATAATAGTCCCTTAAGCCAAAGCCCAATGCAGAGCAAAGCCCTAACTCCCTTCAATTCTATGAAAATGAGAGGTGAGAAAGCTGCAGAAGAAAAGTTTGAGGCTAGCACAGGTTGGATCAAGAGGTTTAAGGAAAGAGGCCATCTCCATGACATAGCTAGATCTAAGATAATTAATGAAGACAGCCCCATTATCAACAAATTTTCAATGTGGACAAAACAGACTTTCCCTGGAAGATGCCATGCAGAACTTTCATAGCTACAGAGAAGTCAATGCCTGGCTTCAAAGGACAGGCTGATTCTCTCGTTAGGAGCTAATGTGGCTGATGTCTTTAAGTTGAATCCAATGGTCATTTACCATTCAGAAAAGCCTAGGGCCCTTGAGAATTATGGTGAATCTACACTTTTGTCTGAGCTCTATAAATAGAACAACAAAGCTTGGATGACAGCACATCTGTTTATAACATGGTTTATAAAATATTTTAAATCTACTGTTAAGAACCACTGCTCAGAAAAAAAGGTTCCTTTCAAAATATCACTGCCACCAACAATGCACCTGGTCACCCAAGAGCTCTGATGGAGATGGGCAACGAGACTAATGCAGTTTTCATGCCAGCTAACACAACAACCATTCTGCAGCCCGTAGATCAAGGAGTAATTTCAACTTTCAAGTCTTCCTATTTAAGAAACACATTTAATAAGTCTGTAGCTGCCACGGATAGTGATTCTTCTGACGGTTCTGGGCAAAGTAAACTGAAAACCTTCTGGAAAAGATTCATCGCTCTAAATGCCATTAGGAACATTTGTGATTCACGGGAAGAGGTCAAAATATCAACATTAACAGGAG